GCGTCGCCGGTCGCGAAGTTCCGTGCCCGGGGCCCCCCAGTCCGCGAGATTTCTCGGCCTGGCTGAAGCACGGGAAGTTCATCTGCGTCAAGCCACGTAACGCGCGGAAGCGCCATGCCGCCATCGCGGGGCCCCGCCGCGAGGCACTCGCCGCGTCGCTAAGCTTGCGTGTTTTCAGCGCTGCCTACGGGGAGAAGCAGGCGCGGATCTGGCGCGTGTTAGCGAAGATTTCTTCACCATGAGAGACCCGCCTTGGCGCGACGAAGCGCAATGCTCCAGTCGCCGCGCGCCGCGCGCGCGTCGGTAGGTCGCAGTTCAGAGCAGTGGCGCTAAAAGACGGGGCACCAAGCCCGCATTCGTTCCTTCCAGGTCGCAAGCGTCAGCCTTGACAACCCTTCGGCCGATCTTGAGGCGCGCTCATTCCGCCGACGGCCCTTCAACATTCATCTACATTCACTCATGTCGACTTCTCGTTTTGTTCTTGGCCTTCCTGGTGCATCTCCAACAACCTTTCTTGTCCGGCCTCGGGAGCCACCCTTAAGGTCTCCGCGGGGGTCCACCAGGACTCGCAAACCTTCGAGGGCCTTCAGTTGGATCCGCGCCAGGTCTAAATGGGCAAACGATTAAGAGGTCAACGACGCGCTCGCACACATAACCAAAGAATCTTCGCGGCGATGGGGCCTCAGCTCAGTCGGCCTTCTTTCCGTTGCAATCTTGCACTTGGAGGAGGAAACGATTTTCGCATCGCATCGTCATCAGTTTTTTTAGCAGGTCGGCTCATTGCAGACGCATCGTCGCGTTCGTTGCCATGTGCTTTTGGCGCTGGTCCGAGGAGGGAAGAGGGAGGAGAAGAGGGCGGAGAGGGAACGTGGAGCAGGGGGGAAGGGGGAGAGAGGAGGGAGGAGGGAAGAGGGAGGAGGAGGGGGGGACGAGGGAAGAAGGAGGAGGGACCTCATGGCCGGAAGGGGGCGTAAGAGCAAACGTCCCACCGCGGCGGTGGCGCGCCGAAGACACGTTTTTTTTTTTTTGCGAGATAGGGGGTGCTCCGAAATGTCCACGCGTTGGGCGATTTCATCGGGTTTTGCGTGGTCGTTGGGTGGGGCTTCGCAAGCACTGGTCTGCTAATGCAAGCGTTCGTGAGGTTTGCGACGATCCCAGCTGAACCCATGAAGCCAGGAGGGCAAAAAAGCGCCGAGCAGCCAGCTGAAAGCGGCGATCAGCAAGCACGCGATAATTTGATATGCCGCTTAAAGATAACAGTCGGGCAAGGTAGTTTCGCCCACCAACGCGTCGGCCGCCAGATTTTCCATGTTTTTTTTTTTTCATACGCCCATGCAATCAAATCGATATATTTGCACGCGCAATGAATTCGGTTAACTTGCGAATTTGACATCCTTAGGCCTCGTCGGATTTGATGAAGCAAGCAATATAAACGCATGTAATTTTAATTAATTAATGTCAACACGGCGCCCAAGATCCGAAACGCACCCGAATTGCGGATTCATTTGACAAAATCGCTTGGCGGCGTATAAGGCGAACAAACATATGGTTTTGTATTAGCCAACGGTTCACCGTGACCATTTACCCGCGCACGCGACCCCGCATTAAAACCGTATTTGTATATGTTTTCGTTGATGCACGTGCTGGTGCAAATATGCTTTTGCTACTTTGAAAATTGTATATAGACACTTCGGTCTACGTATGCCCTTTGCTTCTGCACGCGTGAACTCTCGAACTTTCTGGTTCCGGATACGGATCTCGAATAAATCGCGGATGGGTCACGGACAATCGCGGGGGGCGGGTCGGGTGAGTCGAGGAATGGGTCGCAGAATTTGTTTCCAATCACGGTCTTAAGAACAATGAATTTGACAATATTTTGCATTTTACACCAGCCCTCTGGGCGCAGATGTCCAATGATGTCCTTCCTTCTCCGAAAAACCGTCTCTTTTTTTGTGGAATATGTATCACCCATACCCATTTGGTCACACATTTTGAGTCCACAACGATTTGCCGAGCGCGTTCGGCAAAACAAAATTGAACGCCTTGAATCAAATAATGCTAACATGTGAGATAGCTCGGATGATTTTCCGCGTCACGACCCGTTGCTTTCCAACATTTGTCTAAAAATTCGGGCGGAATCCCGTCATGATGCTGTGTTTTCTGAAATTCGGAAAAATGTGTGAGAGGTGCTAAATGGGTGTGGGTAACGTATGCAGGTCATCTTCGGTGGGACTTCATGCCTGCGAAAAGAAAAAAAAATATATGAGCATACCAAAAATAGTTATACATGGGTGAAAACCGAAAAAATGGGAAGAGAGAAAAAAAAAAGAAAAGAAACGGAAAGCGGAAAACAACGAGGAAGAAACGCAAAGACCTTCTTCATCATGACACTCCAATATCACAAAATATTTTGGAAATATGGGAACCCGGACACCCGTGTTCCAATATTGACGCTCAAATTCGCTATTCGTCGTGTGAATATGTATTATTCAAGATTCGTCGCATGTGGTTTTACGATTCAATGTGTGATGTGTTTGATTCGACGCGTTCGTTATGAAATTCAATCTGTTCTGTTTTTGATTCGTCGCATGCGTTTTGAAATTCAAAGTATGGTATTTGTGATTCGTCACGTAAGGTCGATGTCAATGTGCGTGTGCGATTTGTGATTCCAGGTGGGGTGTTTGTGATTTGCGTACGGCACCAAGAGTGCATTAAAAGAGAGTTTTTTAGGATCCCAGGAAAGATCTCATGGGATCTCCATTGGTTCTTCTTTTTTCCTTGGATCAGGAACCCTTAAAATGTTCCGAGTTCCAAAAAACGTTTTAAAAACGCTTCGCGACGACCCCAGAGGGACCAAGCATATTCCAGAAGAGTACAAACATGGTTTTATGATGCGAGATTGAAAGTTCTCTTGAAAAGAACGAGGGATATCCAAAACCCTTGTTCATCTCATTAATGGTATCTAAATTCCCCCCACATGCTTTATAAAACCCCCGGAAACATAACAAACAAATTCCAAATCCTCATCGTATTCATCCTCATATGCTTTCTCGTTTTCTCCATTTTTGTATTCCAAGGCCATGATTAACCTGTTTGCCTGAATGTTGTTTTTTGTCTTGTTTCGCGCCGTCAGCTCTGAATAACAGAGGTGTACTTCAATGCGATTGCATTCGTGTCTGTTTATATGACTAGGGCACTGCATGGTGCGCATTTTTTCGTCATAATATCCACCTCAATAATGGGTGACCAAACAAACCAAGAATTGCTTGAACACCAATTGGTGGGACATGGTCGAAAAGATTATTTCCATGGAATGGATTTCGAAAACGAAAAACTAACATAATCCGCGCTGTGAAAATATCCCGGGATTGAATTATTCCACATACTGTCGCGAAAAATGTGTATAACTCACCGAAATTGCAGCATAGACATGGTTTGTAAGGAAAAAACTGGTCGGCAACGAACATATTAAATTTGATCCTGCATATGTAGATTAAATGGGACACGCAATTCGCCACGCTCAATGATTTCCTAAATCCAAACCTTGAACGTGCGGATTCGCAAAAAAACAACAAGATTACACATTCACGCCGTCAATATTTATGGAACTTTATTGCGGGAGGCGCACAGAAATTTATTTAATAAGCTGTTGATCGGAAATGCAAGAATCATACATCTATTTAAATGCAATATCGCTTATTATCGCTTCAAAACATGATATTCATGAACAAAACCCGCGCACCATTCTATATCACAATACGAGTAAGTCCAGGCAAAATTATCCAGCCAAATTCTGCCTTGCGGAAACGAAGTGAAAATCAAAAACATGTAATTTTGATATTATTTTTGACGGTTGATTGCCCAAAAACTTCCCCGATAATACCGAACGATATTCAAAGAAGCGGCGTTTGCTTTGATTTGTGGGTTATTTATGACCATTGATCGGGTCGGACAGTTCAGCACGTCAGCAACGAGAAATATTCCATCCTTTTTTCTTTACCCCAGAACTCCGTTACCTAATTCTGTGCATCCCACAAGTGGCCAGCGGAGCCCTGCTGGCGAACTGCAGAACAGCACATCTGATTCTACAAACAAATGGCGGCGAACCAAGCGACGCATTTTTGCCAGCAATATTCCCCGCCCACATTGCAGCCAGAGGTGTACTGATCAGAATAGGAAAAAAGACAAAGCCTCGCAAAAGTTTTGAGATCTGCAGCTGCTGTCAGGCTTGGGGGCATTGTGTGGCCCCTATTTGGCACAAGCGGCCTGAAGGGTGAATTTGCGCACCCCCCATAGCTCGGAGAGTCGTGCACATGGAGATAGGGGGAGGGGAGAAAGTTTCTTAGGGGTTGCGCCGAGAAGCCGATTGGTTACGAGGGTGGCGAATCGTTGGTTTTGTTTTGCCCTGCGCTACTGAAAAATACCTCTGCGAATGGCGCCGACTTCCAGTACCAGCTGGAAACATGCTAGCCTTGGAAAGTTGTGGCCATATATGCTTTTCGAACATATCCTTTGCTACTCGACAAAGAGCGGCGCTCACGAGCTTCGCGGCAATGAGGTCTGCTTCGGTGATGGCAATATTGACGCTGAAAATTGTCCATTCCGATTGGGGAAATCTATCCTCCAGAGGCACATTCTAGGCTCACGCCTCTCGAGGCAAGTGTTCTCCCCCTCTAGAGTCGTTTGCACCCCCCTAGAGGCCCTTCTAGAAGCTCCTCTAGAGGCCCCTCTAAAGGCACCACTAGACACGCCTCTGCAGCCTCTAACGTGAGAAAATGAGGAGCCCTGGGGGAGACTGCGAGACTTGCGCGGCCAACACGGCTAGGATATCTCGGGGAGCACTGGAACCGTCCCGGGAGCCCCCGACGGAGATGTACGCTCATGCCAAGAGCCACTTGAGGTCAACTTCGGCCGCCCTGGGCCCGTCTATTAACGAGGCGACACGGGCTTCACGAGAAGGACGATAGCCGACATCAAGCATAAACAACTCACGGTTTTCACCTGCTTTTTCGCACACTGTCTTGAAAGAAGTTGCACGGGCTGAAGGGGTGTCAGGAGGGGGAGGAGATCTCGGACAAGCTGCGCTTAAACAAACATCGCGCGCTGTCACGCCCGCAGGCGGAGCACGGGCGGTCACCAGGCAGCTCCTCGAGGGCGTCGTAACTACATCCTTATCATTCCTCGTGGTACTCCTTCCCCCTGTCCCCGCCCCATCCACCGTGTCCCTCCCTCCCTCCCTGACTCAACCTCCCTCGCTCCCCTCCACCTCTTCCTCCGTGCCCGCCATTGAGCCGTCTGGGGGGCCCTCCTGCAAATCTCTGGGGAAGGAGGTCTTCGAACCAACTTTGACCGTTTTAGGGGCCTTTTCAACGCCTCTGCGCCGGTCTTCGTACCTGTTGGGCCGTTTTGGGGCCCTCGTGGACCGTCTTGGGGGGCTCTTGGACCGGCTTAGGGTCGTCTTGAACGCTCCCTTGGGCTGTCTTGTGGCGCTCTCGGGAAGTCTTGGAGCTTTCTTGGGGCTCCATTGGGCGTGTTGGGCCGTTTGGGGGACCTGTCTGGGAGGCTCCCAGACATGTCTTAGGCTGTCAGAAGCGGGATACAGCGAGAGGGCCGAACTCACTTAAAACAGCTCAACAACCAATGAGCTTTGTTTCTTGCAGCTCCTCTAGAGGCCCTTGGGTGGCGTTGTCGCATCCCCGTCCGCGTCGCTCGCGCGACCGCATTGGCTGAGTGGAAATTTGACTCGACCAGCTTATCAAGCTGGCGTGACCTTCCACGACGCTCGCTCGAGCGGCGTTCCATCCGACTGAGTATATGAGGGGGCTGTCCGCTTGTGGGGAGACGAGATTGTTTGTCATTGCATGAGTTTGGCGTTCTCGCTTTCTTCGCGCTTCTGACAGTCAAAGACAAGTCTGGGAGCTCCTCAGATCGCCCCAAGACAGTTTTAGACACTCTCAAGAGGGGCCCGACATGGCAAACATGGCCCAGGATGGGCCCAAGACTGCCCCACAGGGACGCAAGCCAATCCGAAGATTGCCGTAGATACGCCCGAGAGGGCCTCAAAACTCCAGACGAGACGGCCCGAGAACGCTCCAAAACGACCCAAGACGGCCTCAAGATGAGCCAAGGCGGCGCAAACTGGAACGTCTGTCAGGGTTCGGCAATCGAGGTTGATTGGGGAGGACACGCGATAGGACACACGACTCCTCCGTGGGCCACGTTTCCATAGGAATGCAGAAAGCATGGGTCGCGAAACACGGGGCTCGAGGGTATCCTGGATTTGGCAGGGTCGACCCACTAAACAGCTTCGACTGTACTCTTCCAGACGCCCCTCGGAGAAGCACCATTGCACGGATTTCTTGGACCTGGACCTCATGGGCAGGCGAGGGGCAATACTCCCCCGCCCCGGGTTCTCGTGGGGAGGAAAGGGGCGGGGGGGGAGGGGGGGAGCTCGATATTCATAGGCTCTAGGCTCCAGGGGAGGGGGAGGGCACTCCTCGTGGGCCCTGGATCCCGGGGTGGCGGGGCCGAAGACTCCTGGACCTTCGATTCCAACTGGGGGGGCCAAGAAGGCTGGGGGAGCCAGGAGTGCTGGGCAATTTCTTGGACGGGCGCTGCGCGCGGAGCGCGAAGGGGGCGGCGCCGGACGCGCCGCCACGAAGGCCTAACGCAGATCCAAGATATCCGCGCAAGCATTCGATCGTTTATGTGAATGCAATTTGCTCCGCTTGATCCGACCTCCGAAACCGTCACGTTGATGCGACGGCGCGGGAAGAGTACGTAGGAGGACGGAAGGATCACCATCCTCCTCCTGGCCAGATCCGCTCCGAATCGGTCCCTGGGTGACATATCGAGGAAAGCGTCCGGCGGGGCGGAAATCAACTGCATGCAGCAGATTTCGTACCCCCCTTCCCCCTCCTTTCGTCCGGCCCGAGAGCGATATTAATGGAAGACGATGTTTCAAATATTTGGTGAGAAACGCCAGGACGGCAGCCTAAAAAATCACCGACCGTTCAGCGTGTGGAAGACGCTGTCGTCGTCGTCGTCGTCGTCGTCGTCGTCGTCGTCGTCTGTCCCAAGGTGAGGATCAAGGAAACAACGTCATAATTAAGTCGAAGGAGAGCCCCTTCCCTTTACCTCTTCCGTGCCGGGTTTGGTGGGTGGGGTGTGGGTGGGGTGGGTGGGTTCGCGGTGGATGTGTGTGTGTGTGTGTGTGTTTTATGGGGGGGGGGCGGGGGTCTGGCGGGGCGGGGTTCCAGGTCAAAATACCGCATCCCCCAGGGTCCCCGCGGGTTCTGGGGGGGGGGGTCGCTTGCGGGGGTCCCAAGGGAGGTCCCGCCTTCAAAGCCGACGGCGCCAACCGTAAGGCCTTCGCAACACGAGCAACATCGCGGGCTGCGCGCGCACCGCGATGGCTTGCCTCGGCGAGCTCCGGCTCTCAAAAACGACGTGCTCGCGTCGACCTCCCACGAAACTCCACGGCGCTGGGCAAGAGGCGCGTCGCAAAACGGCAGAACTCACGCGCTGCCACGCCCGCGGGCGGAGCACGATTGGGGAGGAGGAGGAGGAGGAGGAGTGGCAAAGATTAGGACGGAGGACGAGGAGGAGCAAAAAGACGAGGAGGAGGAAGAGGAGGAGGAGGAGGAGGAATTGAATTCGCTGGTATCCACGTAGTGGTAGCGAATCAGACGACGAGGACCCCAGGCGGCGGCCCACGGAGGACGGCCTCCCGCCTGACAATACCCAGCTCTGTGGCCAGAGACGCCTTGGGCGGACCCTGGTGGCTGGGGGAGAGCTCCTTCTGAATTCTCTGGATGCTATCAAGACCATTCTTGGTGCGGGTCGCAAGCTCCGAAACAAAACGGCGTGGGTCCTCCGTGACCGTGCAACCATGTGCAACCACACGCCAAACAAACATGCAGCCCAAGCTTGGGCCAGAAATGGAACGTGTGCCGCTCCTTTCCCCAAACCAATCACCGTCCCACTCGCCCGCGCCACCCCGAACTCGGACAAACTCCAAAAGTCCTGGGCCGCGGTCGGGCACGAAGTGGGGCTGAAATCTGCCACATGTGCCAGAGGGGTCACAATATGGCAGAGAGAGAGAGAGAGAGAGCACAATCATGTACGTTCGGCACGAACCAAACAATACTCGCTCCTGCGCAGGGCCTCCAAGAGGCCTTCGGGAACCCGACGGGCCACGGGGGGCCGAAGTGCGGATCAAGGCGCAACACTGATAGTCCACCATAGATAGCTCTGGCGGCTCTGCGCCCAAACATCGCCGCCGTGTAATCCCAAACGTCCGTGTCGGGGGGTCTCTGGCCCTGCAGGCCACGCGCCTGGGGAAAAAACTGGGCCGCTTCCCCCGCGAGAACGTCGGCGAATACACTGCCCGTGGCGTACAAACGCACTTGAGAGGAGAAAGGGGGTCTTCAATTTCCACATGCGACGTGTACCGCGCAACCTGGACCTCTCCCTCTCCTCGTTCCGAGAGGGCAGCACGGACGCGAAAGCCACCTCTTATGCAGGGCAACGTTGTCCGTGACAAAACGCACCTGGCCTGGGAACTTCCTGGGCGCAGTGTCGAGAACGCGGATCTCGGCTCTGGGCACAGTCTGACGGCGACCCCCACGGGTCGCGGCAAACCCGCGGGCCTGATGCCAACCCCCCGAGGCGGCCGCCAGCGCGATCGCAGCCGCGCCCACGCGTCGGCGACGAGGGCCGCTGTTACCCTTCCCACGCGAGGCGCCTCTAAAAACTAATAATGAAGCCATCCTCAAGAACGGGATCGAGCATCGCGTCCGCATCTCCCCCCAGCCCCCCGCGCCGCGTCCTCGCGCCCACCGCGGAAATCGGGGCGCGTGAAACTGCGCGCCCGCGCAAACAGAGATTCGGGTTTGCCTCGTGGCCCGCTCGGGCCTGGGACACTAAATCTTCGAATCTCGCGTGGGCAAGGCCCCTTCGGCTGCTGGGGCATTTCCAAACCGGGTGGAACAGGGGTTCCTCTGGGGCTCCGCAACGCGGGCACTGGGGCGAAACGACGTCAACAGTGACCATCTGCACAGCGAGGTCAAAATCTCCGTTCTTGAAAAACCTCTGGGCCGCGAGGGCGCCCTCCGCGAACATTTCCCCGCCAAAACTTGGGTCCGCGCCCGAGCCGCGCAGCCACCTGGGGGCCACGCCTGGGGAATCCTTGGATGGAGGGCGGGGCGCTTGTCCCGGAGATCCAGCCAGGAGCGGGCCAGTTGCGTCCCTCAGCTAATCCCTGGGTCTTTGTCCCCGTACCAAATCGCCAAAGTGGTGGTGAGACAACGCCCTGGGCTGCGCCCAGCAACCGCTTGGGCCGCTTGCCTCCTGAATTTCAAAATAGCGGACGGGGGGGGGGCGTGGCCTGGCGTCCATGCGCCGACTGTGGTAAGGCCCCCTTGGCGCCGCAGCCCTCGGGGCGCCTTGACCAGCGACGCGAACCTGCGGATCCTCTTGATTCTGAAACCCCTGGGGCGGCCCTCCCACAAACGCTGCCTCAATTTGGCGCAAGTCCGACGAGCCCCCCCGGCCGCGTCGCACCCCAGCGCCCTCGAATTTTTTAGGGTTTAGGGCGCCGACAAGCTCAGGCCCCAGAAGGGGATGATTAACGACCAGCTTGGTCTTGGATGAGATCGGGAGCTCCTGCCCGGCAAATGACCGCACATACGAATCGGCGAGCCCCGACATCTGACCGACCGCGCTGGCCCATCTCACCTCGGGCCGAGCCGCGGCGTCGCCGACAAACGTTCAGATGGCCGAGGAGACCTCGGCCTGGGTGAGAGCCAATCTTTCGTTGGCCTCTTCAGTGAGGGGCCCGAGAAAAAGCTTGGCCAAGAAACTCCTTTGGACGAACCCGCGACCAGGGACCGCGTGGGAAACGCAGAATCACTGGCCATCTCACGATATTAAATAACCCTAGAAGCAAGAAGCATCTGAACCTCCAACAGGGCCACATTGGCAGGATAACCCTGGGCCATGGAAATCTGCGTGAGCTTCGGGAGATTGACGCTGTCATCAGCGCGGCCGCGGAACATCCCAGCTCGCGCGCTGCTTCGTCCATGGCGGCCCTCTAGAGGGTTGCGCGCAAGGCCCTCTAGAGGGTAGCGTGTCCCAAAAAGTCGTTCCCGCCGTCGGTCCAGCGGTCCGTGGCTCCAGACCGCGCCCTGGGCCGCAAGCCCGCGAGCTTCGGGAGGGCGCCGACGATGCGCTCTCCCCCCGCAGGCTTCGGGAGGGCGGCGCACAACGTCAGGCGCAGCTGCGCGGGCCGCAGCCCCACCTGCTCCGCCATGTTCGCGATGGCCACCACCTCCTGCTTGGCGGCCGCGGGGGGCCTCTGCAGGTCGGTCGGCCCCAGGACGTCAACACCCTTGGCCTTGGAGCCTGGGAGCTTGCACCGCGCGTGCTCCAGCTCCTCCACTGTGGGGGGTCCAACGCCTGCTGCTTCGCCTGCTGGTGGAGGGCCGCGTTCGCGTCGGCCCAAATTTGGGCCCAAAACTGCACCTTCTGCGCCGCGATAACCTGCGGGCCCAATGTCCCGCCCGGGTGGCCATCGCACGGCATCTCCAGGACCTCAGAAGGCCCGGGGTCCGCCACATGCTGGTGGAGGTACCTCGGCTTGTTGGCCCACATGTCCTTGGCCCACTTCACGTGCGCTTGAGAGGCACACGCTCGGGCCACCCACTTCTTGGTGACCTCGCGCACCTCGCTCAGAAGATCGACATCCGACTCGCCATTGGGTAGCAGGATGAGGCCCACCCACTTGTCCACCTCCTCGGAGGTGGCCTTTTGCTGCCACATGTGAATGATCGAGGCTGCTCGAGAGCCTGGCCGGCTATGGAGTTGAGAACTGCTGCGCGTCGCTGCTGCTGATAACTATCAAGTCCATTGCGTGCGAGCGAACGATGCCGCGCGATGATCGACTCAACCGTCCACCACCAATTCATAGTTGGCGACCTCATGCGAATGCGACCAGGTTGCGCCTTCAGTCGTGCCCAACGCAGCCCGTAGAGCTGCCATCGCCCACAATGCCTGCTCCATTCATTTGCAGGGGCCTGCTCGGCGGCGAGGATGGTGCGCTCTGCGGTCGAGACCCAGTGGGGGTAGCGCTCGGTGAGGGTTGCCGCTCCAGTCTTGTCCCGTGTCGTGGCCCAAGCTACGCTCTGGTCGATCAAAACCCGCGGTGCTTTCTGAGGGGCCTCCAGCCGCGAGCCTGCAACTCTCCCAGATCTGTTCCTGGGCGTAGAAGGGAACAGTGGGCGCCGCCTCATCGTCGGGCTTAGAAAGAAAGGGGTGGAGCTCCTCAAACGACTCCTGCATCTCGTCGGGTAGCCGCTGCCTCCGAGACGCCCTCATCTCCTCCGACTGCTTCTGCCCTTTGCTGTTGGGGCCGGCCGCCCGCTTCGGCCCATCCCTGCGAGGCAGGTCCTGCGGCAAGGCGACCACTTGATTCCGCCGGCCGATCTTTGTGAGCGTCGGCGATCTGAACGTCTAGCCCAATGCGGGCGCGCCAAGGCACCTCAGTACATCCGCTGGCGCGCGCCTGCTCGTGGAAGCCCCGCTTGACAACGGCGTGGTCGATGGGGGGGCGGCCATCTCCCTTGGCGCAGCTGTGCTGCGCGTCGTTCGGGATGACGACCTCGCCGCCCCAGGCCCCGAGGGTGCCCGTCTGCTTGAGCCCTGGCGGCGGCGGGTTCCCATCGGCCAGGCCAATCCATGGGTCAGTCAGGGTCGCTAGGAAGGCCGCGGGCGCCGTCGCCCGCGAGTTTGTGACCGGGGAACCAGCGGGCGGAGATGACCACCGCGCGCAAGTGCAGCGCGAGGGGACAACGCCCGCGAAGAAAGTGGTGGTCGCCCATCCTGAAGAAATCTCAGCCCGTGGACGCGTGGTGCCGCTCGGCCAAAATCCAGCCACCTCCGCGGTTGCCTGGCTCCGACTTCGAGGTAGCCTCCGCTGGGGCCCCCGCGAGCTTCCAAACGTCCTTGAGGCAGTCCAGCCTCGCCTTGGCCATCAGCTTCGAGACGAAGTGTGCCCCTGCCAGCGCCGGCGCCTCGAACTGCTGGCCCGCGCCCCTGGAGAAACCTTCGGCTTCGGGGCCCCACTCGGTGATGTTGCCGAAGAAGGAAGGTCCGCGCATGCTCGAGCTGGCGCTCGGACTCAGGCCAGCTCGGGCACCGGCTCGGCCAAAGCGGCATCCTTGGCTCGGCTCTCTCGGCGGCGGGCGGCGCGGCCTGCGAACTTCCTCCCTCAGGAGGGGCCTGGGCCCCGGACATCTCCTGCTCGTGCAACCAGCCGCCGAGCAGGTCGTCGAAGGGGTCGCGGTCCTCGCGGCCCAGTTTGGGACACCTGCCGCTCGTCTGGTCACCCGTAGCGGCCGCCTCCGACTCCGACCTCGGGCCGCTGCGAAACCGACTCGAAAAGCGGGATTTGCGGTCTAATGCCCGCTCGGCAAAAGTGAAACTGTGAGCGCGCGAACGGGACTTGCGTCCTGGCCCCCAGGGGGGCCTCCGCGCGCGAATCCAAAGGCTGTGGCAATGTCGAACCCAACTGCGACGTCGGGATTTGCGCTCCGACGCCCGCCCGACAAAACTGCGACGGTGAACCCGATTCGAAAAGCATCGGGATTTGCGCCCCAACGCCCGAAGATGAACTCGACGCCGTCACTGATGTCGGCAACGACATCGACGCTTACATGGAACCCGAACCCCCCGTGGAATCGAATCCAACGTGTCCGCAGAGGGCGGTGCGCGCGCGGGCGTCGTGGACGGCGGTGCCCCCTTGCACGCGCGCCGCGGCTCGCCCCCCTGCTCTTCCTACTCGAAGCTCGACTCCCCCCCTCGGGCGCGCGAGGGTCGAGGGCCCGGGGTGCGCGCGGGGGGGGCGGCCGCGGCCGTGCCGGCCCAGTCGGCGGCAGCCTGCGTAGGCGAACTCTCTGGAAATGCCGTCGGAGACGAGGATCCGCCCTTGCCCTCTTCGCCGGCCGTGGCCGAGGGCGGGCCTTCGCGGCCGGCCTGACCACCATCGCCAGGGCGAAGACTACAGTTGGTCGACCGCGGAGTGGCGCTCGAAGCGACCTGAAGCCCCTGCCCGTCTCTCGACGGCGCCTGTCTGACGGCCGCGCGGAGGTGCGGCCTGTCGCAGGAGGGGGGGCTCGGGGCCACTGACATCCCGGACTGGTACATCAACGCCATCAGTGGAAGCAAGAGCAGCGCCGCTGCTGGCCGCGGCCCCCGCCGCGTCGGCCCCCTCGTCGGAGGCGACCGCATCTGTGGGGCCACGACGGCGTTTGGCCTGCATCCTGGCGTGCAACGCCTCCTCGCGGAGCTGGATGATCTGGTCGGCAGCGAGCCCCCAGGCCTCTTGGACCTTCTCCTGCACGCTCTTGGCGAGCTCGGACTTGATGCGGTTCCACTCGTCCTTGTCGGCGCTGTCGATGCCGAGGCCCTCCATGTCGATGAGCGGCCCTTCGACGATCTGCAGCTTGCCCACGTCAGCGAAGGTCGAAACGTTGATTGCCGAAGCAGCGAATGGCTTGGCCTCTTGTTCCAGCGGCTGCGACGGCAGCTGCTTGGCGCAGGCCGCCTCCAAGTCCAGCTGAACCTGGTGCGCCGCCTGCACCGCGAGGTCCCCAGCGCTCTTCGCATCGGCCAGCCACTGCTCGCCCTCGGGGACACGGGCGGCGCAGGTCTCGAGTCAGGCCTGCGCCCTCCTGCATGCCACCCCCTTCGTGGCCACCTCTTCCTGAAGGAAGGGCTGGCGCTGCAGGGCTGCTGGCTGGGCGGTGGTGGCTGACAGGATGGCCCCCGCGCGCGCCAGCTCCTCCTTGCCCTTGTCCCCGAGCTTCGCCCGCAACGCCGCCAGCGGGCCCACGGGCTCCGCAGCCACCGCACGGCCGTGAGGATACCAGGCTTGGCGGTAGACCCAAGGACGCCTGTCGATGGCCGCCGCCGCCGCCTTGGCCTCGGCCTTGCCCTGGGGAGGGACCGGCTGGCCCTTCTTGCCGCGGCCCTTGCCATGGCCTCCCGCCGCGGCGGCTTCGGCAGGCGTGGGCGCCTCGAAAGGCGAGCTCACCCCAATTTTTGGTCTGCGGGGCGAGAGCCAACCTCTTCCTCTTCCGGTAAAAGCTGGGCGGGCTGCGCGCAGCTCGCGAGCCCACCACAGGCGGCTGCAGGAACGGCTAACGCAGGATGGCAAGGGGTTCGAGGGACTGTTGCCCGCGCGGGCGGCGATCCGCAGCCAGGCTCTGCGCCAGCGGGCCAGCCAGCGCACCTGAAGCACCAGTGATTGCTCTGGAAGCTCCAGCTGGACCTGCAGTGGGGGCACGGGTCGAGGTACGACTGCCGAGCCCCAGCCCGTCCAAGGCCTGTCTCGCGCCAGCCTCAACTGTCACCGCTGCGGCCCATTGACGACGGGAAGCTCTCACGAGTGAGCGAGGAGCTGCGACACCTGGGGCGACGCAAGACATTGTCGGACTGAACAATCCTGGCACTGCCGCGGACTAGCGGTATCCACTTGGTTCGCTGAGAACCTCAAAACCTTGAGCCAAAATGGCTACGGAGGAGGAGGAGGAGGGAGAAGGAGGAACATGTAGAGGAGGACAAGGAAGATGGAAGATGGAATATTGAAGATAGATGCGGAGGATGAGGAGGAGGACGACGAGAGACATTCGGATGTCGTCGGGCATCAGAAGGACTGATGAGCTGGAGGTCCCGAGGCCTCTCTGAGACTTCGCCCCCAAGAGCAACCAGATCTGGCGAGCAGGGCCCCGCTCCTCTGGGCCCTTTCTATCACCTGCTGTTCCACTGCACTTGCCATGCTTCTGTATGCTGTTCTTTTGGCGCGTCAGCTCGCCCCCCTGGAGTCCCCCCCGTGTCTGCCCCAAGCGTGAGACTCACCAACAGAAGCGACTCACCGACTGGACATGAAACAACGCTTAGGGCTTGGGATGCCTTCCGGGTCGGCTGGCGAATGGCCGCCACTCGCTGGTGCCTGGAAGGATGGACCCTCGCTGCATCGAGCCCCACGCCCCCGCCCCACCCGTCCTCGCCGAACGCCCTCTGGTCCCTGCCTGCGCCCACCTAACGGCAAATCCGTGCCGTGCCCACTTCGGAGCCGGGTTCTGACGCCGCGGGTACCGCTCACATTTGAACGCTTGGCCGTTTCTGAAACGCCAGATCGCTCCACATCGACCGCTGTGGGACTGCAGGCGGCGTTCAGCGTTGAGCGCCCGTGGCGGGGTCGCTGCTGGACGGCGCGACGCGAACCTACCGTGCGAGGGCCGTCGAACACGGACGTGGAGCAAGCAGCCGGCTCGCCCCTGCCGCGGGCAGCGCGGGAGGCCAGAGTGAAACGATCGAACGCCGCCGCGTCGCGCATGGTCGAGACTCACTCCCTCCATCACCCGACACCGCGCCCCCTGTCACGTCGAGGCGTGGTAGCTGGCAAGGCTGCTGTAAACCTTCAAACGCCCCCTCCATCGTCCCGCGGGTCGCACACCACGGTGCGCATCCCCTCTCCGAGGTCCTCCATGGCTTCCAAGGCTGGCCAGGAGGGCCATCAAGCCCATTGGGGGCGTCTTGAGCGCGCATGGGGCCGTCTCGAAATCATGTTGGGCCCCTTAGAGCGTTCTTGAACAGACAGAAACTTGACGTGATGGCCAGACTTGGTAGCGCACAAGCAGGCCGAGAAGCCAACGCAGAAGAGGGAACGCAGCGAGACGCGATCGATCCCACGGCTGCCAGAAGCTCAGCCGTGGCAGAAGTGACCGCGCCACTACCACTAGAGGGGAGCAAACGATGCATCGCTGCCAACTCGCGGGAGATCTCACCGCAACGCTAGCACTTCTCCTGCTCCTGCCGAAGAGATGCTCTGCCAAAACATGTCTAAAAACAAACGGGCACCAGGGTGTGTTGTACCCGTGAAATGCTGGGCAATTGAGTCGAACTTCGGGCTTGCAAAAGAGGTGCACATGCTGTCACGCCAACGGGCGGAGGGGCTTCGACAATGGAATCGTCGTCTTGCGCTGGTGTCATTGACGGGGCTGTCTTGGGCCCTCTTGAGCCGTCGTGAGGTCATCTTAGGCCGTGCAGGTGTCGGAAACAAATAACCAGCACTCACGCGTAACATATGGTTTGAACTCCCCCCCTCCCCCGAATGCGATGTCGATTTTGGAGCCTCCGAGTTCGAGTGTCCGAGTGGCGATGCGCGACCGTGCCAACTTTGAACTGTTGGGGAGGGGGGAAAGGCTGCTGACATTTATCCTCAACCGTACTGGAGCGCTCGTGGGCCGTCTGAAGCCGTCCTCGGCCGCTTCTTGGCCGCGCTCTCTGGGCCTGGCGGCCGCGGCGCGCAGCCTCGGAAGCACGGGGCGGGGTACCCAGGCACAGACACACGGAGGAGGAGGAGGAGGAGGAGGAGGAGGAGGAGGAGGAGGAAGGATAGGGAGGAAGGGAGGAGGAGGAGGAGGAGGAGGAGGAGAGGAGGAAGGAGGAGGAGGAGGATGAGGAGGAGGAGGAGGGAGGCGGGGAGGAGGAGGAGAGGAGGAGAGGGAGGAGGAGGAGGAGGAGGAGGAGAGGAGGAGGAGGATGAGAGGAGGAGGAGGAGGAGGAGGGGGAGGAAAGGTTGACGGCTCGTGGCCGTCTGAAGCCGTCCTGAGGCCTCTCGGGCCGTCTCGGGCGCTTCTTGGCCGCGCCGGATCGGGGCGGGCCACCCACGCCACCCCCCACCTGCGGTCGCGGCGTCACGGCCCGGGGCCCCAAGGCCTGGTCCTCCTCCTCCTCCTCCTCCTCCTCCGCACCTCCTCCTCCTCCTCCTCCTCCTCCTCCTCCTCCTCCTCCTCCTCCCCTCCCCCCCCCTCCCCCCCCCCCCCCCTCCCCTCCTCCTCCTCCTCCTCCTCCGCCTCCTCCTCCTCTCTCCTCCTCCTTTCCTCCTCCTCCTCCTCCTCCTCCCCCTCCTCCTCTCCTCCCCTCCTCATCCTCCTCCTCCTCTCCTCCTCCTCCTCCTCCCCTCCTCCTCCTCCTCCTCCTCTCCTCTCCTCCTCCCCTCCTCCTCCTCCTCCTCCTCCTCCTCCTCCTCCTCCCCCTCCCCCTCCTCCCTCCTCCTCCTCCTCCTCCCCTCCTCCTCCTCCTCCTCCTCCTCCTCCTCCTCCTCCTCTCCGCCTCCTCTCCTCCCTCCTCCTCCTCCTCCTCCACCCTCGCCTCCCCCTCTTCCTCCTCCTCCTTTCTCCTCCTTCTCTCCTTCCTCCTCCTCCGCCTCGCTCGCTCCTTCCTCCTCCTCTCCTCCTCCGCCTCCTCCTCCTCCTCCTCCTCCTCTCCCCCTCCTCCTCCCCTCCTCCCCCTCCCCCTCCTCCCTCTCCTCCTCCTCCTCCTCCTCCTCTTTCTTCTCCTCCTCCTCCTCCCCTCAATAGCCGGCGGGACCCAGAAGGCAAGCCAGAACCCCCCGACTGTGCCGCAAACACCATGGTGCACAGCGTTTGCTGATCGTCTCGCGCTGGCGAGCCTCTCCCGAAGGATTTACATCATGCTGTACAGATTACTGGAGGCGGTGCGGCCGGCGGTGCGGCCTCCCTCCTGCCCGCCTGCTCACATCCCGACTCCTTGCAGGTGTCAAAGCGGGACCACGCCAGAAGAGGCCCCCGTACCTTCCCCTCCGTGGGCCTGAAAATGCCGTAATGCGCGCCTAAATAATTGTTGGCGATCCGCGCTGGCGTGCACTCGGGATGCGCCTCCAAGTAGCGACGATCGTTTCCCATACCCGACTTGCACTTGAAATGCTGCTCCCTGTAGAGCTGGAAACTCTGGTGAGGTCCACATTGAACTTCAGGCCCATGGGAACTTTCTCTCTTGATATTTACCCCTGGGCACTCATCCTGCACCACTTTCTGTAGCCCGTGCATCATCGTCACCGGACCCATCAATCCAGAAATATGCTCATTCCCAATGTACCAACCCTTGATCGCCTGAACAACATGTTGCATTACCTTGCTGCCGCGCTCAGCCGCGAAAACAGCATTCAAAATCTCACAATCCTGGGCAAACGAACTCATGAAAGTTGTGTTGTCGTCTACCATTTCCGAGAAAGGAACGCGGAACTGCATGTCTAAATCCGCATAAAAACCTCCCTCGAGCGCAACCACCGCCGCTCTGCAAATATCACCGCGGTAAGCTCCGTACTTCTCGTTGACGTACGCGGAATGCAACTCGGACCCGAAATTGGAAGCAATGAAGTCGCTGCAACCGGTGTCATTAAGGAATCGCACCCGAAGATTAGGGTTCAGATGCAAAGTATTGCGAACGTTGTCTCGCAGCTCTGGTGGCAACTCATCGATAGACCCCTGCTTCGCCGTCATGACAAGCTGCCATGGGATCCTACCCTCATGGCCGCCTAACCCTTCCCGTCTGAGAACGGTACCATCAAAGGAATGTTGAATGGCTGTCACGCGCTTTAGCAAAATCAACAACGTGAATCCACAATTCCTCATGTTGCACTTCGTGGTACGTAAGATGGCGTAAAGGTATGGAACAGACTAAGTGACTAGCGTGGTCGCTTGAGCCAGAGTGGCCAGCTGCAACTTCGCATTGAAGATTGAATGTTGAACGGCTCTACGGTTTTTTTCCCAACCATCCTGTGGTGTTGGGTCCTCGTTTTGAAGAGACGGTGCCCCGCGTCTCCTTCCTCCTCCTCTCCTCCTCCGCCTCCTCTCCCCTCCTATCATCCTCATCGTCATCATCATCATCATCATCATCATCATCATCATCATCATCATCATCATCGTCATCATCATCATCATCATCATTATCATTATCATCATCATCCTCTCCTCTCCTCTCCTCTCCTCTCCTCTCCTCTCCTCTCCTCTCCTCTCCTCTCCTCCTGTCCTCTCTTCCTCTCCTCTTCACCCACCCAGTACACCGTTTCGTGGCCCCATAGGGAGCTCCACCGAAGGCCCCAATGCCCGCGCCCGCATGCGTCACCCACACCCAATTCGGCACACCCCTCACACGCTTCGTGGCTCCATAGGGAGCTCCACCGAAGGCCCCAGTGCCCGCGCCCGCATGCGTCACCCACACCCATTTCGGCACACCCCTCACACGTTTCGTGGCTCCATAGGGATCTCCACCGAAGGCCCCAGTGCCCGCGGCCGCATGCGTCACCCACACCCATTTCGGCACACCCCTCACACGCTTTCGTGGCTCCATAGGGAGCTCCACCGAAGGCCCCAGTGCCCGCGGCCGCATGCGTCCCCCACACCCATTTCGGCACACCCCTCACACGTTTCGTGGCTCCATAGGGAGCTCCACCGAAGGCCCCAGTGCCCGCGCCCGCATGCGTCACCCACACCCATTTCGGCACACCCCTCACACGTTTCGTGGCTCCATAGGGAGCTCCACCGAAGGCCCCAGTGCCCGCGGCCGCATGCGTCCCCCACACCCATTTCGGCACACCCCTCACACGCTTCGTGGTCCATAGGGAACTCCACCGAAGGCCCCAGTGCCCGCGCCCGCATGCGTCACCCACACCCATTTCGGCCACCCCTCACCCGTTCCGTGGCTCCATAGGAAACTCCACCGACCCCATGCTGCCGCCCGCATGCGTCACCCACGCCAATTCGGCACACCACTCACACGTTTCATGGCCCAAATAGGAGCTCCGCCGAAGGCCCCAGTGCTGCCGCCTGCATGCGTCATCCACATCCAATTCGGCACACCACTCACGCGTTTCGTGGCCCCATAGTAGAAGCTCCGCCGAAGGCCCCAGTGCTGCCGCCCGCATGCGTTACCCACACCCAATTCGGCACACCCCTCACACGTTTCGTGGCCCCGTAGGATCTCCGCCGAAGGACCCAGTCATCCTCTTCCTCCTCCTCCTCCTCCTCCTCCTCCTCCTCCTCCTCCTCCTCTTCCTCCTCCTCCTCCACGGTCTCCGGGAGGGAGAGCTCTATGTGCTGCTCTCGCGCGCCACGCGCCACGAGGACCTCCTGCTCATGCGGGCGCCGCGCATCGAGTTCTTCCTGGCAGGACCGCCGGAGGGCCTGCGAAAGCAGCTGGAGCAGTTTGCAGCGCGCACGAAAGCGGTGCAGAGGCGGGAGGCGACGGCCCTCGCCAGGGAGCTCGGCTTCACCGAGTTTATCCGCGAGGCCTGACCTGAGGAGCGCCCCCCCGAGCCGCGCCTTCTCTCGACTGCCCGCATAATTGTTCGGCCTCGCGCCGCGGACGACCCGCGCGCGTCGCTGGGACCCTCTCGGGGCGACCAGCGCGCGTCGCGGGGATTCCGCGCGGCGCTCTGCTCAGCGCCTCGCTCGCCCGTCGTCGCTCTGCCCAGCGGCCGGAGCCTTGCCCGCAATCAGCCGGCCGGCTAGCTCTCTGTGCTCCGCTCCGCGCACGCGGACCTGCGCGCGTCGCTCTGCGCGCGTCGCTGGGAGACCCTGCGCGCGTCGCGGGGCGGCGACCTGCGCGCGTCGCGGGGACTCCGCGCTGCTCTGCGCCCGCAGCTTTGGATTTTTGGAGCGCGCAGGCAAAGAGGGGGGAAAAGAAGGGACGGAAGCGGGTGCGATCCCCGTGAGGGGCGTGCCGACATGGGCGTCGCGGCGCGCGGGCGCTGCCGTCGGGGTTCCCGCGGAAGCTGCCTGCGGCGGCCACGCCCAGTGTCACAAGTGTTCGGACAGGCATGCTCGAGCCATTCACATTCATATACATTTACACGAGGCGTAGCCAAGATCGCATTCATGCAAATATACTCACTCCCGCGCAGACCCATTCACACTCAGACTCTCTCGCGCTCTGGCTCACCCGCGTTCATTCTTTCGTAATCTGACCAATCGTATTCCTTTGCGTTGTGTACCCCGCCATATTTCGGCATACCCCTCATGCGGTTCGTGGCCCCATAAGGAGCGCCACCGAAAAAGGTACTCACAATTGCGGCACTCACAGCTGCATATGGTTGGGTCTTTCGACAGGATAATTCTTTCCGCCTCTCTCCTCTGCCTGGCTCATTCCGCGTCGCAAGTCGTTTCTGGAGCGCCCCTCCCAATGTTTACCAATACCTGCCTCGCTGGTTCCCGCTGACCGAACACATTGAATGGCGCTGAATACACGATTCCCAACCGCCCTCATTCACTTCTGCGGTTTGTCGCGGCACTCTCGGGCCGTCTTGAGACGCTCATGGGCCTCTCTTAGGCCGTCCTCGGGCTGTCTTAGGCCGACTTCTAAGCATGGTATGGCTCTTGGGCTGCCTTCGGGCTCTCTTGAGCAGTCCTGGGGCTCTCTTGGGCCACATTGGCCTCTTGGGGGTGCCATGGACTGTCTTGTGGCGATCTGGGAGGCTACCTGCTTTGGGCTGTCTCAAATGCTCGAGAAGGCGGTGAGACGGCCAACATCATGTGAACACATATGGAGAACCGATGATTTGTCTATGGAGGCCCTGACCCCCAAGAGGCTCCCAGGATGTCCACAGGAGGCCCTCAAGAGGCCTCCTCATCTTCCTCTTCCTGCTGCTCGTCCTCCTTTTCCTCCCTCCCCTCCTCCTTCCTCTTCTTCTCCCCAATGCTCCCCCAACAGGTTCCAGACGGCTGGGGGAGCACATAGTCCAATAGCTTGGCCAGGCTTCGGCCCAATGTTTGGTCACGTGGGCGTTTCGAAAAGCATGGGGCGGCGGTGATTCGCCGTAGGCGTCTTGGTGCTGCCAACCAATTCACTTTGAGGATCTTTGATTTGAAGTGGTTTCTTCGCCATGCCCTTTCGAAGTGCCCGAACAATTCTTCAATATTCTTTTCGTGGAACCAATGTCCGCCACCGCGCCTGCAACGGTTGGTGCGTCGGACCCTTTCGCCTCTTGCGAAGCAATCGTTAAGGCCGCCCGACGCATCGAGCCAAAGATGTGTGTCGCCAAATCCCCGCGTTTTTAGCCGCCCAAGCAAAATATGATGCCACATGCAGAATTCAGGGAGGCGAGCTCTGTGGCCCCTCCCCCCTTCCCCCCCCTCCAGGCGCCCCCCCCATCCGCCCGAGCGCGGTGGCGGAATCGTGTCGCAGAAAAACTGGATCGTCAATCTGTCTTGGCAGCAGTCTACTCAATCGCTGTTCTTCTCTCCCCCCCTGTCGCGCAACTGATCTCTGGCGGCTAACCAGTGCAACCTTGTCGTCGAAATCAATAGCTGGCGTTATTGTCACTCGGAACACCACTTCTAACTCCAGAAGCACTTTTACAAACCGTTTTCATATGGTCTGCATACCCATCCTAAGTTCGAACTGTATTTTGGACGTGTGCTACCCCGCAGACCGTGTCGTACTATTGTTTTGCCTGTGCGCGGCCGACTTGTCAATGGTTCCCATAGTTGTTCGTACGTTTACAACTTGCTTTAACATTTGAACATGTGCTAACGAGAAAATGCAACTCATCGCACAACATGGAAACGTATCACATACCGAGGTCAATTTCCAGCCAGTCCAACAATGCGGCCAACGACTACCCAACCACGAGAAGCGGATAATCACGACCATTCTGCTTTGGTCTGGGAAAAGGCTCTCCTACATGTGCGGCCCTATCCCCAGACAGCCATGTCTGCGAAACACCTTGTTGGTAACACATTGTTTGCATACTTTGGAAGCATGGTGGACAGAGGCATTGTTGTGACGCTACTCATGAGTAAGCGCATGCCACGTGGTGCAAGTGCAATCTGGGCGTCACGAAACCGAGACCCAACAATTCGTAAGCTTGCCTTCGGCGTGAAAGACTTGCTAACGGACGACAGGCACACCAAATATGTGATCTGTAGCACCCCGCAATTTGTTGATAAGAGTGAGGGGGCGGCGGCATCGTCGGAAATTTGCGAGGCTCTGAAGAAGCTCGCAGCAAGCGCCGATGTCTCAACAAATCCGCCACCGTGCCCACCGTGCCCCGTGGCACCTGGAGGCGTGGCAGAATGCCACGTGCTGTCTGGCAAAATTTCTGTAATCTTAGGGACCCCCCCACTCTGAGCCGCACCTCGTTGCGCGCACCGGCCATACTCCCGTGGGGTCTCTGGGCGACGATGACGCCTCCCTGGGCCTCCCCAAGGCTTCCATGACGGCCCAAGGGGCCCCCAAGACGGTCCAAGAGGGCCCCAGGTCGCCGGACGATCGCTCGAAGACGCCCAAGATCGCCTCAAGATGGCACAAGAGGCTTCCAAGGCGCCCCAAGAGGCCTCCAAGAGCCCTCCTAAGAAGGCCCCCAAATGCAACAATCTTGGATTGTTCCTGTGTGTTTGAAGGATTTTGGCGTTCTCGCTTTTTCGGCTTTCCGACGCTCCAAGATGGCCCAAGAGGCCCCCAAGACCACACCAAAACGGCCCAAGAGGCCTCTAAGAGTGCCCCAAGACGGCCTAAGAGCGCCCCAGGACGGCCAAAGATGCGCCCAAGACGAACCAAGAGGGCCCAAAGTCGGCCCCCAAAAGAGCCCCAGAGAGGGAGCGCGAACTTAAAATCCGAGCCTTCGGCCCTAAGCGGCCCCTAGGAGGCCCAAAGAGGCGCCCAAGAGGCCCCAAGAGGCCCTCAAGAGGCCCCCACGAGGCCCCAAGAGGCCCCCAAGAGGCTCCAAAACAGCCCCCAGGAGGCCTCAAACCTGCCTCCAAGAGGCCCCGAGAGGCTTCCCAT